ATTTAGGTTTTGCTGTTAGTACTCTCAGTAGATATATGGCTAATCCGGGCTCTGAACATTGTGATGCACTAAAGTGGCTATTAAAGTATTTGAAGGGTACAAGTGTACAAGTGACGTAGGTTTAAAGTTTAGTGCTAATAAAGAAAATATAAAATTAAAGGGTTCTATAGATGCAGATTACGCGGGAGATAGGGATGGTAGGAAATCTACTTCATCTTACGTGTTTACCTTATCTAATTCATGTGTTAGTTGGAAATCACAGTTTCAACATATTGTTGCACTATCCGCTACAGAATCAGAATATATTGCTACCACTAAAGCTATTAAAGAAGCTCTATGGCTTAGAGGTCTACTTCATGAACTATGTGTCTTGAATGATTATGTGGTAGTGTATTCTGATAGTCAATCATCTATACATTTATGCAAGAATCCCATTTTTCATGAGCGCACTAAATACATTGATGTTAGACTCTACTTCATTAGAGATATAGTATCTCAAGAGGTGGTAAGACTTGAAAAGGTCCACACTCACTACAACCCCTCTGATATGGGGACGAAGGTATTGTCACTAACAAAGTTTAGAAGTTGCAAGGAACTTCTAAACATTGATACAGGTAAATGATTTCCAATTTTTTATTAGTTTTCTATTAGAGGTATCACTAATGAGAGACAATTTTCTTTTGCAGGTCCTTTGACACTAAGGTAGAGGTTGTTAGGCAATTTGTTGTCAAACGACCCCCCGAGTTATGATGTAATGTCGGTTTTATTATCAATCGACCTTAACCATATGATTGATTAGTATATCGACACAATTATCGAGACAACCCAACCCACATTCGTATGGACCGTTCAAAGTAACCTATTGTTAATAGTGTTGCTCATGGTTCGTCCCATATCTTTGGAAGGCTATGTTATTAATTTGAAGCCCATTATTTTTTGAGTCGAGCCTTGTTTGGTCCACAAATTAACCCTAACCTAACTTACCTTGTTTGGATATTTACTTGGCTTATATTCTTGTCTTTCTCTCGGCCTCCATAGTAGTATGCCCAATCTCTCTCTGTGAGACTTACCTCTTGGTTCTTTCATCTCTTCTCTGTGACCTTTGTGGTTAATTCTTAGTGAGCATATTATTGGACTTCATCTTCCCAACCTATAGCAACCGGAAGTGGGGCGCCTTTGGTGGTGGTATTGGAGTTGTCTCAACCTTGGTGGTGTCGACAAAATAGGTGAAACTGAGTCAGGTTTGAACTTGGTGTTTGCTGGAAATTGGCACTACATTTACAAATTTGGTTGACAAATAAGTGTTGTGAAAATATAGACCATTAATTTCTAATGATTTAAAAATCTATTTTTGAAATAATTGGTGTAGATATTATTTTGTCACCCAACTTTATACACACAGCATAACTTATTACCTTATCCCGTATGGATGGTCAATAAAAAAGTGGAAGAGAGCATAAATTAATATTGGGCCTGTTAGTAAAATAGGTCGGCCTTCAAGATAGTTTAATATTTTGTAAAGAATAAATCATTTTATTTGGGAAAATCAGACATGATTTTTCGATTTAAGGTTAATCGGTTGGTGTAACAGTTCATTCGACGATTATTAATTTTTCGATTAATGTATGATGACTAGATTGGATTTGAGATTGGTTCATGGTTTTTTCGATTGAACTAACTGATCCGGTTCGAATTTTATAACATTACCTAGCATAGATACATACAGAAAAAGAGGTGTGTAGGAGTGGGCGCAGACCAAACTAGAACAACCCAAGTAGTTATGGTTTGGTCCGATCTGATTCGATTCTTTATATTAAAATTTTTATAAAAAAAAAAGTATTAAACTACTTGTAAGATTAAAAATAGATAAAATGGAGTTAACTAAATAAGGCAACAAACAAAAATGCACTACAATGCTCAGAGATCAGTTAATAAGGGCATAAAATTATTAATAAATTGTAAAATCCATATGAAAAATAATTGTTAAGAAAATTTATACAACAATATTTATTAAAAATGTATGTTGTAATAAGATTATCTTCAAGGAGAAGATCTTGATTTTGATGGTGGACCACTTTGAAAACAATGAGAAATTTGGGGTTTTACCAAAGATTGAACTAAAAATACACTTTTCTATTGGGGTTGCATTTAATCAATGATTTTTTTTGTAAAGTATTCATAAAATTATTTAGATTTAAATATTGATTACCCATTGATTTTTATTGTAAAAAGAAAGGAGAAGAAATATATGGATAGAAAAATTTCTGCATGAGATAATTTTAGGGTTAGTGTTCAAATATTTAGTGCATTTCGTTAGAGAAACTAGGGAAATCGAGTTCACTATTGGATCTAAAGATAGTACCAAAAATCGGATTGAAACCGATCAATACTCAATGCATTTTCCTAAAATCAATCCATTTAATAAAGGAATAGGAACCAAACCAACCAACTCTATCTAGTTTGGGTTTGATTCTACTGGTTAGGGAAAAAAGGCCAACTCTAGGCGTGACAGAGCAAGAGAGGGCTTTCACTTAGTCAAAGGTGTTGGCGTGGGAGAGATAAAGTGAGGAAATTTTAGAATAAAATGTCGAACTATGTTTAATTTGTGTCTTTTATCTTCTTGGCTTTCTTTTTGTCGTCACGTCTGCCAATTTTATCTTGATGGAAATATAGAATAGAATGTAGTTGGAGTTGTAAGTTGGATTTTGACTACTTTTGTGTCACCTCAGCTACGTGTTGTCAAGCTTGCCATGTATACATTCACTTTTATATTAGCTTTGACATCCTTCCGCGTGGTAGTCATCATAGCTTTTGATTTTTTCCAACACCCTTTCATATCATTGACAAGATTTTGACACATATGAAAAATGTCATCCATAATGTAAATTAAAATGAACATTTAGAATAATTCACACGCGTTTTACCCAAAATAGGGGTCGGTCTATGGTTTATTCCAATGGAGCAACAAGTTGAACTTGTTTTTAGTGAAAACTTGTGAAATCGTTAATAATAAAGAGTTTTTTCAGACAGTAAACCGAAAAATGAACACATTTATCTAATAATAGACATTTTTAAAAATTCCAAGAGAACATTTGAAATAAGTAGACATTGCTTTTTATTCCTGTAATGTATTGTGCTTGAATAAATTAAAATCAAGATTCTCGCAAAAAGAAAAGAAAATTTTTAATCTTTTATCCAAGACAAAAAATCTTCAAAATTCTTGTGCGAACTCCCTCCTTTTCTAACACTATTCAAAATCTTTGCTTGTAGATCCAACACCCTTTCTTTAAATCCTTCATCACCCAACACTCTTTCCAACTTATTCTTTATTTCGTCACGTCTGATGATACCATTTTCATCCTTGTTCAGTTCCAATCCAATCTTCAAATAATCACAAATATAGCTCTGATTGAACAACTGATCTCCAAAATAGGGCCAACAAAGAAAAGGGATTCCATTACTTATGCCTTCAAGGGTAGAATTCCAACCACAATGGCTAATGAAACAAGCAATAGAAGGATGTGATAGGACTTTTTGCTGCGGCGCCCAATTCACTATACAGCCCCGACGATCCAGTCTTTCTTTGAATCCTGTTGAAGAAAGAAATTAATTAAATAACACCACATTTTCCTTCTTAAAAAGTTAAATTTTTAGTTGAGGTGCTTCAACACGGAAGTAAAGATTATGAGATCATCTCTCTGCCACTCAATAATGAAAAATGTGCATTTGTACTTTTTTTTTTTGTTATAAGCTTTAGATGGATATATCTTTTAAATGAGGTGGCCTAATGAAACCTGTTGGGTAAGCATTGTTGATGTCTCCAACTATGTTTTCCCGCACAACCCACAAAAATGGCCTATTGGTGAGTTCAAGGCCAAGGGCCAATTCTTCGAACCGAGTGCGGTTAAACACAGCGAAACTCCCGAATGCAACATAAATGACAGATTTGGGAGGTTGTTGGTCAAGCCATGCCAGACAACCTGTTGAACACAAAAATCGAATACTATGAAACTAAAATCACACGTCGCATCTTTCATGGGAAAATAAAATCAGTCTGTATATTATCGGAGTTAGTTGGAGCTGAAAAAGACAAAATTCAAACAAATTTTTATTTTCCCAATCTTTACAATTTAATATTTTAGATAAGGTATTTAACACAACCTGAGTCTTCTTGCCAGAAGGAGCCGGTTGATTTTCCAAGTCGGTTGCTTGCAAGAAGAGGGCCTATGGCTAAGAAGTCAGGATATGAAGCAAATGTTCCAGACTCCAAGCAATTTGATGAGTTGCAGATCAGCCTTTCTGCTAATTTTGTTGGCTTTATAACTTTTACGAAGAATTTAAAGACGCCTTTTTCTCGCTTATGATCACCTGCACAGTTCCAATGGAAATCCGTTGGTTTTATGAAAGGCATTGTTGGCGAAAGTTGAATACTCTGCATTTTCATGGGTTGTCCTGGAAAATTCAGCATTGTATTAGTACAAAAATAAGAAAAGAAAAAGAAATTACAGGTTCTCTCCAACGAAAAGAACAAGAAAATAATAAATCCATATGCAGAATGTGAGCCGATTTACACATGAACTATTTTGAGAAATATCAAAAATCAAAATGAAGTTGTGCGGTTAAGTTCCCATTTCAATGGTCGCTCGTGTTCAGTATGGTTAAGTCCCTCCAAGTCATCCCAATGCCTGCAACGAAAGCTGGGGTAAAGTCTCCATTTTTCCCTCCGGCGTTTGGTATAGTTCTTTGAGTAAAATAGCCTTTAGAGAGAAACCATGTGGCAGAATATCAACAAAGGATAGAGGGATACACTAATCTAGGTGAAATACGGTCCATTTTGGATGAGGTAAACTGCATGGGGTTGTCTCTTAAAAAAAAAAAAAAAAAAAAAACCATGTTTGTCGAGCCTTGACCGTGGCAGCTCCCCTCCAATGGAAACAGTTTTGTCTTTTTCAAATGGGCGATGGATCCATGGCTTTGTAAACTCAAACGGCTTACTGGACATGGTTTGCGGGTGACCAGTTAGATCTCCGTCAGGTAGAAAGAGAACTGGAGAAGGGGTGCAGAAAAAAAGAGTGTGAGGGAGAATGAGAGACAGAGAGATGGTGGTTAAGCTCGACTCGCTCCTGGCCTGGCCAGCGGCGAGTTAGGTTGAATGTGCCAATGTTAAATTGTTTAATAATTGGGCTTAGCTAAAAAACCACGTATCATCATGAAGACAAGAATTATATATTATTTAAGACAAGGAAAAATGTAAATTTGAAAAAGAAAAATCCAAGAACAGGAAGAAATAGAGATTCAACTATTATTTGAAGAATTATTATGCTCTTGTTTGGTCCCATCATTTCCAAACTACATTTTTCTCTCTCATTTTATATCAAACCCAGAGTATACCCACAAGAAACATACTATAGGGGATAGCACAAAGTATATTCAAACTCATGTTCTTCACAAAGTATGTATAATAAATTGAGATCTCTAAGGATTTTCGAGTCTACATATTAACAGAGATGCTGATTAACTCTTCCTCTTTGAAGTGTGGATAGACAACACCTCTATAAATATAAGAAACAGAAGTTCAATTCCTTAAAAATTTAGAACAAAAATAAAAGTTTAAACAGATCCCTTAGACCATCTCTACCCTCCACCAAAATCTGCAAACGAAAATATGAAACTATATATATACATATTTTTTTTTTTTTTTTTTTAAATGTAGTACAATAGATAAAAATACCACAATTAAAAAAATATAAAATCATGTTATTGAAAACAACGTAGTACATTTCGAATCTTGAAATTATGGTATGGCGAAGTCGACCTGGTGTCATAATTTAATGATCTGAATTCATATATTCATTCCACAAATGTTCAATTAATACATTTCGAAATCCAATGTGAGCATTTTTATCCTTGATTTGTCTATGACGAGCAAGAAATTGTTGGAATCGTTGATTTTCATTTTCAACGAACTCATCTTCTGGAGTAGGCACAAATTATGAATAATAATAATAATAATAATTATGAATTGAAATTTTTGTATGAAGTAAAATGACACAAATATAAACTTGTCATACATGAGAAAAGGGTGGCAAAATGGACTTTTATGGTAAAATGGTGCAAGTGAATGGTGTCCACAAAATGGTGAAAGATTTGGCGTTGGGTCGGAGTGGTGATTTTGGTGGAAAATGCTGGAATGGTGGAAGGGTTGGAATTGCCCTTAGATAAACTCGTACTGTTCTTTTGGAGAATACACAGAATTAAACGAAAGTCTTTATAATTATGTATGCTTTAAACTGCACTCACCATCACTATCAAGGATCCCGTCCTCAGTAAGCCTTGGAATTTCCAAGATCAGTGCCAATAACGCCACGGCAGCTGGCCAGAAAGCTGCTTTCTTGATTCCCATTTCCTCCGCAACCTCCAGAGCCCATGCCATGGTGACGTCAGCAATTAAACAGCTGACTTTTTCACTTTCGGAGCCATTAATCCGCTGAATAAGAGCCACCAGCTCGCCGGGCATGACATCGAAAATTGATTCCCACAACAATTCGATATCATCTCTGTCGTCAGAGGGTTTTAACCCGTCAGGTAACGAAACCATTTGTACGAGTTCTCGTACACTGTCTGCCTCCGGCAATGATTTCATAACCCGTTCGTGATTGAACTCAGTGTTGACAAATGTGATCTTGCAACCGTGTTCTGCTAAATTAAGTGCGAGCTCCATAGCGGGAATCACATGGCCTTGTGCTGGAAATGGTATAATCAAAATATGAGGTTTTCTCATTGTTTTTCCTTTCTTTTTTTGGCTTACAGATGTTTAGGATTCTTGATGGTATTTGAGCTCGTGGATAGATTCGATGTATCAAGCCAATTTGTACAATTCAATGAGTGGTGCAGGTGGAAATGAGATAAAGCTCTTGTTTGTTTGAGTTTCATTTTTCAACCAAAATATAATATTATACGTAATTTCTTATTTTTAATCATACATTTTCCATCAATATACTATCCAAAAATTTATTTTCTTCACAAAAATTGGGCTCAAACAAGGGCAAAATATGCTTGACCAACTATAGATTGAATCGTTTTTGTCTTCACGTGGCAAATAATTGAGGCAAATTAATTATTCTTTTCTCTATTCACGAGGAACGTGCAAGAGATTGTGATAAACGTAATTTGTGCACTTATACGAATTATATTATTAAGTTCTATATCGTCAAATTATTATATTTTACTTCACCTGGGTTAAATTTCTATTGTTTCAGTGTTGAACCCTTTACAAAGCAATTGTAAAAGAAAGAATAATGAAATTGAATGAAATATGCAATTATTAGAAATTAAAGGACTGCACAGTTAATCAAATTCAAGCATTAAAGTGCATTACTTCGAGGAATTGAAGCCTTGAAGGTAAATAACGCATTGAAATTAAATGGGCCTCGACTTGATTTAAATGAGACTTAAATAGAAGATAGTTGAGGCGTGGACAAGTTAGAATGCAAATTATCAAAGAGAAAAATTCATAAATAAGAGGTTAAATATCACTCATTTCAAAATTAAGAACAAAAGTTGCAAATCTTAAAAATTAGATATTTATTAAAATTTATTTATGATTTAATCAATTAATTATCTATTTTATTAATTAAATATATTAAGGTCATGGATCTATGCAATTTGATCACAATTAACAATTTAATTAGTCATATATTATTTTTTTTAACACAAATCAAATTTTTTATATGTGACAAATTATTTCACGATCACAATTTAAAATTTTTATAGGTCACAATTTATTCATTAATCAGAAGTCAAAAATTTATAAGTCATCATTTATTTATCAATTACAAATCACAGTTATTATAAATCACAACTTATTATATAGTCACAAATTATTAAATTATCGATCACAAATAAACAATTTTTTTGATCACATATTATTTTTTTATCACAATTTATCTTGCTCATTGATCAAATATTATTTATTAGTCGCACATTAACCAATTTGTCCCAATTAACCAAATAATTTGTGGCCACGCTAACACCTACAACCACCATTTCACCAACGCATCCACCACCACAACCACTGCTAGACCATCATCGCCGCTGCCATGATCATTAACACCACCGCCAGATGCACTGCTATTGCCATCGCCAAATCCACCCCCACCAACCTAGATCCACCATCAGCAGGGCCTGATCCACCACCGTCACTGCCAATAAAACCACCCCAACATTATCACACCATGGAGACAGCCACTACCAAGAACAAAAACCACCCCCAAAAACTCTATTCACGCGTGCAGCAAATTGCAATTTTTTCCAAATCTGACACCATATCAATACCCAAAATTCTGACCCAATTTTCCTCAAATCCGGCACCAAATCGTGACCCAAAACTCTGCTCATGTTGGGCGAAAGCAATGGGTGCACCTGTGATTGTGGTTGTGGGCTAAAATCTGATGGTAAGAGAAGAGGATTGAGAGACGGTGAGAGAAGAAGAGAAAGGGATGAGGTTTAGAGAGATAAATAATGGAGAGGGTTTGGGGTTGAAATTTTGTGGTAGATAAATTAGCTTTTGAATTGTTATATTTAGATATATATATATATATATATATATATATATATATATATATTAAAAATATCTGATTTTTGAATAAACAAACTTTGGATTGATTTTTGAAGTTAGATCTTAAAACGGGAAATACATGAAAATAACCCAAATAAAAGAAGGATTTTTCAAAATGACCTTTGACTTTTATAAATATTTTGAACTACCTAAAACACCCTTTAACAAATATTAAAAAATAACCCTTTATCTAATAAAAATCTTCTATTTAAGTCCTTAAAAAATCTGACAAGTAATTTTTCTAAAAATTTGTGAGAATTATTAATGAATAAATATAAAATAGAAAAACCCAAATATAAGAGAGGACCATATAATATAAAAAAGGTTGTTAAAAATAAAAAAGAAATTAAGTTTGAAAAAGAAATTGATAAGATAGGATATCAAGAACAATTATATGCATCACAAGAAATATTAAAATGTTTCAAAAAAAACTTATTAGAAAATTTTGCTAAAGAAATTGTGAGATCAATAATCATAAAAAATATACAAGATATAATAGATAAATTAGAAAAAAGAAAGAAAAATATCTCAAAATATGATATACCTTTTAGGACAGATATAGATATGATAACAGATATTGATATTATAAATTCACAAACATTACTATATTTTGAAAAATTACTTAAAAATTTATAAAAAGGATCATAAAAAATACAAAAAATTAGTCTTTATCTTAAGATTTTACATAGCAAAAATAAAAGAGTTTATAGAATATTAAAATTTTAGATTTTTTAATTAGATTTTTAGATTATTAGATTTTTGTTCGCTCATAGTAGCACCCATACAGTTGGTATCAGAGCCAGAGAGATCATGAGAAAATATATAAAAAATAAAATTACCTAAAAGATTATGATTTTAGAAATTATTGAAACTTATAAAAATAGACTAAGGTACCAGGTAAAATATAGTTCTGACATAGAAGGTTATATAGAAGAAGATAATATAGTTGGAACATATAGTAAAAATATAAAAGAAATATTAGAAATTTTTAGAGTAATTAAAAATCTACCTTTAGAATTAAAAGAGAAAATAATTAAAAAGATATTATTTGAAAAATATAAGCATATATATATATTAAAAGTAATCCAGAGGGAAATAGATTTCATAATAATCTGAAATTACTTTATGGAGATCATAAAAATAAATAATTATTATCAATGTATTGAAAAAAAGGATGTTATATATTTTACAACCTCATCCCTAATAAATTAAAAATAATAACATTATATATAACTAGGAATTTACCTAGAGAAATAAAGGAACAAATATTACATAGATTAATTGTAGGATTTATCAAAGATAGACGTACATATGAAATAATTTGCGAAATATTTGAAAATGAATTATACCAGAGGGAAATATATGAATCATCATAAAAATATAATGGAAAAAACTAAAAATATTTTAGATAGGAAGTTAGAAAGAATAAGATTAATAAATAATAAAATTTTAGATGAATTATTCATACCTGGAGAAATGACTAAAATTCAAGAAAAACAGATATTAAAGTTAAAACAAGAAAGGTATAAAGAAAAAGTAAGGTATTATGAAAAATTAAAAGAGCTAACAAATCCTGAAGTTATAAAACAAAAATATGATAAAATGATAAAATATTGTAAAAATGTTGAGTGTATAGTATTTTATTATTATCAATCAAATAACAGATAAAATGTCAATTAGTGAACATATGGAAGAATTAAAACATTTAATAAGAACATTAATTAATGATGTACAAGAAATTAAGAATGAAATAAAAGAAGTTAGGAATGATATAAATATATTAAAACTTGAAGTCAGAAAATTAAAAGAAAATGAAGAAAAGAATAATAGAGTAGATAAAAAATTTATACAAAAAGAAATAACCAGAATTAGGAAAAAACATATTGAAAGGAAAAATATAATAATAGAAACAGGAAGCATGGATGATGAGTTTAGGAAAAATATATTACCTAAAATAATAGAAGAAGAGGAATCTAGAGAAAAAATATTAGGTAAACAAAAAATTGAAGAAAATCAAGACAAAGAGGATGAATGAAGAATTATATCTACTTATAGATAATTTTGATCATTTAAGTTTAGAAAGTATAGATGATGAATACCAAATCTTAATGAATACTGGAGGAGGACCTAATCCAGTAGGAACCTCTAAACAAGAATCAATAGATCCAGATGAAAGCTATGCTCCAATGTATAATAAACCATATAGGCAATTTTATGATAAAATAAGAGATAAACAACAGTCCAAAGAAAATAAATATAGTAATAGATTTGAATTAAATAATAATTATGATAAGCCTATTAACCATGGAGGAACAAAACTAGACTTAGATTGTAAAATAGATACTAAGAAAGCCTTGATAACTTGGGCAGACTCAATGATATTATTCTTTTTATATAATAAAGATGATACATGGGTGAATACTGAAAGGAGAATAGATTTTTTAATTGCATCTTTTGAAGGAAATGTTAGAAATTGGTGGGAAGGAATTAGTAGTGATACAAAATCATTAATAAAAAGAAATGTACAAACAGAAATAATAAAGTCAGATAAACTAGGAATAGAAAGATTAGTAGAATATATTGCAGATGAATTCTTAGGAAAAAATTGGTTAAGAAATTATGAAGAAGAAGCAATACGAGAGAAAGATAATGCAAGAGTTAAGTTAATTAATCTAACAATTTGTGATATGTGTAAAATTAAAGAGTATACTTGTGAATTCAAGGATTACTATTATACTCAATTTTATAGTAATGAGAATCAAGAAATATATCAAGATATGTATTATAATAAATTACCAGGATCATGGGGAATATATTTTAAAATAGAATTTGAAAAATATATTAAAGAAAATATAGGAATACCTAGAACACTAGGATCAAGAATAAAATTCTTGTTTGAAAGACTTGCATATATATGCCAACAAAGACAATTATTGAAAAAATCAGGAAAATTAACTAGGATATGTTGTGAAGATACGGAAAAACCTACAAGATGGGGATGTAATTATGAAAAAAGAAATAAAAGAAAATATAAAAACAGGAAGTTTAAAAAATATAGAAATTTTAAGAAAAAATACATAAAACCTGGAAGGAAATATTATAAAAGGAGAAATAATATACAAAAAAATAAACCTTATAAGAAAGATAAAAAACAATGTAAGTGTTAGAATTGTGGAGAAATAGGTCATATAAGTCCTGATTGCACTAAGAAAAAAGTGAGAATATTACAAAAGGATT